TCCAGTGATCCTTCTGCCTCAGCCTCTCGAGTAGCTGGGACTACAGGCATGTGCCACCATGCCTGGCTAATTTTTTCTATATATTTTTAGTTGTCCAGCCAATTTCTTTCTATTTTTAGTAGAGACAAGGTCTTGCTCTTGCTCAGACTGGTCTCGAACTCCTGAGCTCAAATGATCCACCGGTCTCAGCCTCCCAGAGTGCTAGGATTACAGGCATGAGCCACCGCACCCGGTCCTAAATATGTTTTAAAAATGCATGTATGTATCTATCTCCAGTTCACAAGATTTAGCAGAAAATATAACACATTTCTCATGATAAAAATTAAATGTTTGACATTTATAAAAGAATATATAGCATATATATTTATGGTAAAGTGTAGTGTTAAAACATCCATGTATCATGTCTATTGTGTCGTTCTTTTTGTTAGTTTCAACTGAGGAGAAGACAGATTTTGTTTCAAGTTCAAAGTTCTATCTTTGTGATTAGATATAATTCAGGGAGAATCTGACTGTATAACTTTATATTGATTGCGATTAGTGACTATAACTAAAAGGAATTTGACTTCAGAGAGAAGTCTAAAAATCAGATTTCTGCATTAAAAAATTCTAGGCAAGGAGTACTGGACTTTTAGACCATTCAGCTTTAAGTAATTGAAACTTTTGTAGAAAGTAGATTATTTCCATTTGCATTCATATGTTGCCCAAAGACAGAATTTCTTTTTTTTTTTGATAGTTTCTTCAAATATTAATAATTCCTCATATTCCAGCAGTAGTTTTCAAACATTACCTAGGGGTGGAAGTTGTTCTTGAATTTTAGATAGATTTTTAACAATAAGAGTTGAAACCAAGGGTTTTTGTATGAAAGAGGTTAACCATAAAACTGTATCTGATTGATTAAAATCTTAATGTGATATATTTCAATGAATTACTTTTTGAGTTTGTTAGCTTTGCCTGCCTGATCCCATTTGATTGGTAATGAATTCTGGACCATATTTGCTGTTTATATTGGTATTCTTCGTGAATTCAAGCCTCTCAATATAGTGTGTGTATTTCTAAATTTCATGCTTTGAAAAATTTACAAAACCTGTATTTGTTAACATAAAAAACTTTCTTATTTTGCCTTGTGGATCAAAAAAATTCCTTTTTCTTTTTTTGGTAGTGATAGTTGGTGATCCTTGAGCATATATAGTTTGAATTTCTTTCTCTGCCTGTTGAGATGCATTCTTCTAGGCCCAGGGGTTCTTAACCTGGTATTAAATTGTATCACAATGAAATAACTTCTTTTGTAATGATATGTTATGCATTTAAAAACATTCTGAGAGGAGCCTAAAGGTTTCTTTTCTGCTTTTCTTTCTTTCTTTCTTTTTTTTCTTTTTGAGTCCAACGATTTTATCAGACTGATAAAGGAGCCCATGGCACAAAAAAGATTAAGAGCTCTTACATAGGTCTTACTTCTACCCTCTATACTGCTGTGTAGCTAAAAAAGATACAGAAAATAGTTAGTCCCTGCTAATATTGTTTAATTTCTTGGACTTTGACTTTTTTTTTCTTTTTTTAAAATGTGGCCACCTTGTATTTTCTGGTTTTTAGTTTGGTCTTTACACACTTGTTTCTCTAATTATTATTGGTACGATTTCCTGTTTGATTTGCTTTATTTGTGTGAACTATATTGCTTTTTGTATTTATCTAGTGGGAATATAACTAAGAATAAAGCTTTTTCCTCTAATAGAGATATAATTCATCAGATTAATTATGTCTTATTTCAAGGAAGATATGAACCAGTAAATTTGAGCAGTACTCACCTATTTTATGTTTTAAGTTTATGCATTATATATTCTGAAAAATGAGTAATTTCCTTTATAGTATGCATAGGCCGAAAATCAGGAAAAGAACCTAGAGAAATTTGGGAAGAGTAATTAGATCATATCAAAGTAATTTTAAGAATTACAGCTTTCTGGAGAAGTAGACAAGTTCTTATTAAATCTCAAGATATCATCTAATCCCAAATATATTTTGGGTATATCTGTGTTCAGTTCTATGGATGGGTAATCAACAATTAAAAGTTAGCAAGCACCTAATTTCTCATATGGCTTCACATATACCAGTTGTACAGGTATGGCCCCCTTAAAAATCTATTTAAGAGAATTTTGAATATAGGAATTTTTAACATTTCATAATTTCAATTCATTGATTTTTAAAAAATTATATTTTGTGCTTTGGATTTCTATTTTTTTGCTCCTATTTTCTGTCTTTAAAACCAGAGTACCTGACTTTGCCTTAAAACTGTTTTTAGAATTTTCTTGAAATTGAGTGCCTTTTCTAGAAAACAAATTCATTTTTATGGGCTATCGCTCCTTAGGACACCATCACATTTAGTTGGGGCCAAAATAGTCAACACAATCTGCTGAGTTTAAAAAAAATTAGGATATTTAATTAGTATATATTT